AATATCTTCATTTCTATCAAGTATAACATAATGCAGGATTTATGTCCAACTTAAAACCAATGACATTAAACAATCAAAATCTCTGCTATAAAGACCTGATATATTTGAATTGAAAACTGACAGAGTAATTCTTACAGAAGTAGTTCACCCAAAAATTAAAGTCTTTCATAATATTTGTAAAGGGTTTGCAAAGAACACAAGTGTAAAAGATAAAAAAGATAAAATAAAAAAGATAAAAAATATAAAAACGTTTAACCGCAGGACAAATGAACAGCCATAGCAGACAAATGTCTTTCAGAGCGCAGCCGTTAATGGCATGTTTAATGCCATATTTGATTTTTATGGTGCAAATGACATGCTGCAGAGTAAAAAGGGACGTTTACCTGACCTCAAATAGCCCAGAGTGAAAAAGCCCAATGCTTTTCACAGATCAATGTGAAAATACAGTAGTCGAACTGCATGCTGAGTTACACGCTGATGATCCATCAATGGCTTTTTGAGGCAGAAATAAATGCATTTTAATGCACCCCCACCCCTCACTGACTGCCGCATACAAAGCGTTATCATACTGTAATTGTGAAGCATTCATTCAGTCAAGTTCAAATCTTTATTGAGATGAATAATGCAGCTAAGGTGTTTCACAAATTTTACCATGATAACTACAGTAGAGATTTTATGGTGGGTGCCAATACTAAATAAAGAGATGACAAGTCTTCGAGATATATAATAATATTATTTAGGGATATTATATGTGGAAAAAAATTTACTTTAAACACATAATAACAATTATATGAGATCACCTTAAAGCAATAGTTTACCCAAAAATGAAAATTCTGTTGTCATTTTTTGACCTTTGTTCATCTTCGGAACACAAATTGTTTTGTTTTCTTTGCGCACAAAAAGTATTCTCGTAGCTTCATAAAATTACAGTTGAACCACTGAAGTCACATGGACTATTTTAATATCTTTACTACCTTTCTGTGCCTTGAACGTGTCAGTTGTGTTGCTGTCTATGCAGGGTCAGAAAGCTCTCAGATTTCATCAGAAATATCTTAATTTGTGTTCCGAAGATGAATGAAAGTCTTACCTGTTCGGAACGACATGAGGGTGAGTAATTAATAACAGAACTTTAATTTTTGAACGGTGAACTGTCCCTTTAAAAAACATTACAGATAATTTTTTAGTCCATATTTTTCAACTGACGGTTCTGGCTAATACCAATGACCATATTCTTAACATTCATTAAAGTAATCAATGTTGAATTTTTATTTTCTTTTATAGTAGATTTTTTATTCTTTTCATCATTACTGCAATCTTACTTTTTCTGTAGCTTTTTCTATCTTGCATTTAAACAGTTAAGCCAATAGACTAATTTGAAATTAGTCTTCAACAGAAAACATTGCGAAAGCAAAGGAATAAAGTGTGGGAATGTAATCCACCATGATATTAGGGGAAACAAGATCCCCCCATGAACACTGTGTTCAGCCCTGCCTCTCATCTTCTTGCCATTGTTTGCTTGAGAAACTGACTGTCCACAGAGCTGTCATTGTTATTTTAATCGAAAAGACAAAGGCATCTCAGAGGGTTTTTTTCTTTTCTATGGGGCAATTTGACACCTCTTAATCCAAAACTTCCTCTGGCTGCCCCGTTGGGAGGAGCGGACACAGAGGCTCGGGTCCATTGTGCATTCGTGGTCATTAGCACCTGGGCTGCGGGTTCCCTGATGCAGATCACTGAGCGCCGATGCGAGAGAAGTCACATGTATTCCCCCCTGTGTATCACACGTCACTGTGGGAATACGTGTGGATGTTAACACACGCATGCACATATAAACACACCTGAATGGAATTTGCATTCAATTTTAATGCGGATTTTGCATCATTATGCTGCTCCGAGTGCCAGTTAAAACTAAAAGCACTGTTTTCATAGGAGTGAAGTATAACAGGTGGACTGAAACATGTCACATAAACAGGTTCGATGAGGATAAACTCCATGGCAACCATCATTTATGTACCATCTGGTGGCACGCTGCCTCTGAGAGTGCGTTCTCAAATCCTAAAAACACTGAACGCATCCCTCATTAGAAAGCCATAGATTGGCAGATGCACTGGCTGGCTATTCTAAATCTGCAGAACAAAGCAAAGCAGATAAAGCATTTGGTTTGGCACTGTTTTATATTGTGTTTCTGGGTGACTCACTCTGGGATTAAACACTGAATGATTTAAATGGGCTGAGGACATAATTCCATTTATTCTTATTTTGGACTCTCCGTCTGTCAGTCATTTAAAGATAAATTGCAAATGAGTCACATTTGACTGAAACTTGCAACTGCAAACCCCGCATTGTGGAGAAACCACAGGATGTTTGGCATCGCACTGTAACGCTTTTAATGCGCTGTGGAAATCTAGGTGCATGAATTATGAACGACTGAAACATTAACTAGTTAATTCAGCCAGGCAGGTTCCATAATTCAGATCGTGTATGAGTCATTAGGGACTTATTTTTAAAAGTTATTAAAAAAGCTGTGCTGCCGTGACAGGTTCTCACTCTAATATGGAAAACCGTGTGACGGTGGTTGTCATCCATCTTTATATAATCCCAGCATCCAGCGTTTTACAGCAGAGCTCTGTATACAGGACATCATACCGTATATATGACCTCGGTACATGTCACTGCCACTCAAACACTTCTTGTGGAACAGTTTTACAGATTTAAATTCTAACATGAATTTAAAGAGCGAATAATCATTTTATGCATTATACCAAATGCATTATACAACAGTTAGTTCTGGTCCTTTAATCTGATTGGCGCTCCAAGGGTGAGCACAGGGATTCTTCACTATTTGTTTCGACTGAAAGCTTGCCTGCAAACATGCCATGACCACAGACAGGTGCTGTGATACAAACAGCAGGGATACACTAATTTTAAAGTTCTGGCTGATATTCATAAGATATTTATGATAATATTTTCATGTTACGGCTGATAACCAAAAAATGAGGAACAATAAAATTCAATATTGATTTATATAGATAACTTAAAAAAGGTACCAACATACATACTTTGAGCTAAAATACAGTAACAGTATGATTACAATTAATGAAACTGTAATACGTACAGATTGAAAAATACAGTGTGATTTAAAAAATTGTAAATATTTTTTTTCTATTTAAATAAGTTTTCAAAAGCAATTAATTCCTGTGATTCTAAAGCAGACATTACTCCAGTCTTCAGTATCAAATAATTATATGCAGTATCAAAAAAAAAAAAAATCATTTGAATATGCTGATTTGCTGCTTAAGAAACATTTATTATTACGTATTACTCATCACCAATTTTGAAAAAAATTGTGCTGCTTAATATTTTTGTGGCCTTGTTTTATATTTGTCAGGATTCTTAAATTAATCAAATGTTCAAAAGAACAGCATTTATTTGAAATGGAACTCTTTTGTAACATTATAAATGCCTATACAGTTACTACAAATACTTGTGTATTTCATTTAATGTATCCTTTCTGAATGAATATATTACGATCAACATACTACCCCCCATAATATCATTATATAAAAATAATAATCAAACAATAAATCTTACTCTTCCCAAACTTTGAAACAGCAGTGTGTGTGCATGTGCACACACACACATTTATAACATTTATAAAATATATAAAAATTATATATTACATAATGAGTGGAAGACTGCTTGTCCAATCAACATCAGATTATGCAACCAATAACTAAATCTCAATATTTCTGCTGCCTTATTGAGTTGAATGTCATGGAATGAATGGCAACCTAAAATGCCTGGAGTCTTACCAAGCAGGACCAATGACGCTTAACAAAAAACTGCATTTTTTCAGAGTACTTTGTGGCCAAGGGCTACACAGACTTTTTACAGCATTTCTCATCCAAGAGAATAGAGAACAGTAGAGCAGACTTGAAAGAGATCCACATCAAAGGGAGCTCAGAACGGCTACTGTAAAGTGCACCAGAGGCTTTGAGGGACTGTTCCTTAAGATAAAACATCATATTTTATGGAGCTGTTAGAGCTGACCCAAAGTGCTGTTCTAGGGTCAGTTTTAGCAGTTACCCTTTTATTGCTGGAAGACCGATGGAGGCTTATTGTATGCTACAAATTTCTTTTAGCAATGATGATTTCACTGCTATCCTTTCTCATGCTGAATTGCCTCGCAAACGTCATCCTGATCCATTCTACCTGCTCAACTCTCCTCCTTACTTCAAATGATCCAACTGAGTGGAGATAATAGTAGAGGGTCCAAATTAGACTATATAATTTCTACTTTACCACTCTAAATGGCCTTCTCTAAAGGATACATGACCGGTTTACTTTCCACTGCTGAAGCAGGGAGGTGTTGCATAACATTTCATTAAGAAACTCCATTCAAACTGACTCTACTCGAGCTAGCAAATAAATTGAAACAGTCAGCCGCTCGCCATTGCGATAGACCTGACATAAACACAGGCAGCTTGAAGAGCGCTGATTCATCAGGGTTTTTTGTTTTTGGCCCTAAAAAGAAGTATTTTTTCGAAGGTCAAATCATAAAACTTCAATTTGAAAGGATTTTGATCTCTGGACACAAAAATTGATAGAGAAAAAGTTTGTTTATATTCATGCCAAGTGTAAATGTATGTTTAGACCAACAAAGTCAAGGATGTTAAAATATGAAAAGAGTGGCTGCTTCTGATTCAGTAAAGTGAAACTTCACTTGAAAAGACCAACATTTTGGTTCAGTGAGTATTCAGTGTGGGCAGGGCCATGTGGCTTGACTCAGCAGAAACAGAAACCAATGTGGCTTGCTCATAATTTACCATGGCTGGTTTAAACAGAACCTAGGTTTTAGTAAAGGTTTTAGTGCCTTCTCAGATGTTACATTGTAACGTCTTTTCTTCTCACTTGCATCATTCATATGCATCTGTTTTTCTTTTCTTTTTTTCCATTTGTCTTTTCTCCATATACTCATTCATGAATGCATGTTCTCTCACCTGCTGTTAAACTTCTCTGGATGTTTCTCCCTCATCAAGTGGAAGCGATGTGCTATGGATGCGTCCTGAAAAGTGAAACAGAAAAAAAGGGAAAGACAAGTTAAATGCCTCTCTTAGGTTAACATATAAAACAGTGTTTTAAGTCTCTGGCTAATGAGCTACAGACTCTTGTCACTTGTCTGAAGGAGTGCACATCCTAAATCAAGTGTTCAGGGCTGAGATGAAACAGCACCCCTGGACCAAACATAACAGCCATAAAGCTGCTCAGACAAGACCCAGACTATGTAGAGGTGTGGACAAAAAAACAATAACATACCAACATTTGATTTTCTCTCCATGACTACTTTTGTGATCACCCTCACAGGAAACACTCATGCTGGGGTGCTCCTCAAATTTAGGTAGTTTTTTTTTTCTACATCTGATTTATTTGATGGCTTAAATCAATGTTTCTTTGTTCACAAATCAACTTTGTATAATACAGTAATACAGAAAATTGACACTTCACTGCACTTGAATCAAGTGGGATCAATTATATTAGTTCAGTTCTTTGTTTATTTGGAAGGGTTCCTAATAATCTAACTGCATTTCAGGACACTTGTTTAAAAAAAAAAAAAAAGTGTTTCCTAGAAAAGCATACACACAACATTCTATAAAAAATATTCGATGAAAAGGGCGAGTAAAGTAGCTCCCTAACAGTGAGCTCTGCTTTTAAGTATAATTGAGGTTAAATGGTGCAATTTGAGCGCACAGGGGTTCCAAGTGTATGTACTGTACTACTGTTCAAAAGTTTGGGGTCAGTGTTTTTATTTATTTATTTACTTATTTGTACTATTACTGAGTAAAGATGACTTAAACTGATCAAAAGTGAAACTTTGAAATTGTTACAAAAAAAAAGTATTTCAAATAAATGCTGTTTTTTTTAAATTTTCAATTCATCAAAGAGTCTTGCAAACACGTATCAAGGTTTCCACAAACATATTAACCACCACAACTGTTTTCAAAATTGATAATAATTAAAACAACTTACTGACCTCACACTTTTGGATGGCAGTGTACATTTCAACTAAAAAATAAGAATTAAAAATAATTACATTTTAGGAATTATAATCAAATCATAATCTAAATATATTTCTATTTTTAAGTCTTTATTTTTCTATTTTATGCCAAAATATCTCACAAAAATAGATGAATACTGCACAAGTCTGCAAATCAAATTTCAATACGAATTTTAAAACACACCAGTCATGCGACCTTCATCAGGCATAAACAATCAGGCATTATGATTATTTTTCCTATTATATCTAATAGGAAAAATGTTCCATCATTTGAACATAATACCATAAAGTGTTAAAGTGGAAACCTTACAACTTGGCTCATTGAGTTTATAGACTGATGATTTCAAATTGGTGCTAGAGAGATGATTTTCTCTCTGGTGCAGTAAAAATAGCCATCCCTAGAAAAGGAGAGCTTCTGAGGTATTAACAGGTCCCTGTTTCACATCATGAGCTCATGTGCAATGGGGGAAGGCTCTGCTTGTCAGCTCTGTTGCTGTGGCCTGAGGGGAAGATGATCGTGCAGATAGGCCTGCTGGACAAAGTACACAATCCTGGAAATGGGGCTACAGCACTAGAACACCAGAAGAGGATGGGGGTGGGGGGTGGGGGATGAAAGAAGATGATTCTGAAGACCAGAAAAATGAACAGTCAGACAAAGACAAGAGACAACAAAGCTTTTATAGCAGTAGTGTGCCCTTCATCAGACCCATCCGTTAACACAAAAATTCCAGGGATTTTCTGCTACAACTCCAGACATATTCCTGGAAGCAAATACTTCTGTCAGATGAAAACATAGGTTGATGGTAAATCAACTGCCTCAAACAAGTACTGAAAAAAAAAAGTATCCCACAATGCTCATCGAATATTCACGAGTATTAATTTATACATTTTTATGTTAGCATTAAAATAATGTAGGGTCATGACGTCAATTTAAATCAATGATCTTATTCATTTTATTAATTCCAAGGGTAAATGTTTTCAATATTAGGGCAAATAAATAAAAAAATTATTGAAAAAACATATAAGATAATTTTTTTTTTTTTTTGGAATGCCATCATCATACATTATCTGCACTTGCTGTGGTTCAAAACTAAACTGAAAATAAAAACTACAATTATACAAATGCTATAAAAATATAATGTGGTTATCATCAACTAAAACTACAAAAACTATTATTAAAAAATATCTGTATTCAAATAAAATAAAATATAAATATAAAAATATATAGAAAAACTCTGTCCTTATTTGGATAGGACAGTTAATTGACAGGAAGTGAAGTGAGAGAGAGAAAGTGGGGCAGGACCGGAAGCGCAACACACTGCCACGAGGTTATCGGCGCCGACTAACAAGCCACACAGTTTGAGGTATCATTCGGCAGCACAAGATGGTGCAGGACAAGTTAAGCACCAAAGATCATTACTAGAATTTTGTTCAAATCACTAACCCTTGCCTTAGCAACCACTGTTTATTAAAAGCACTGCCATAATAGAAAAAAAATGTAGTTCTAAACACTTTTCTTAGTAAAATGACCACATCATCTACTTCAAAACCATTATCCTGTCAACCTGAACGATATGAAGTTCTGCCTGTGAGGACCTAATGGCAGCTGAGAGCATAAGTGATCAAACAGTGGGTTAAAAGCACCAGAGGTTGTTTGCTCTTGCAGCTCCAACCCAGAACGGAATCCACCCTCAGTCAAGCAGCCCTGATTAAAATCAAAGCAACAGTGCGCAAACAGAAGAACTAATTGATGAATCAGGTCTGCAACCGTAACTGATTATTTCTATATTTACACACGCACATGTAAAAGACAGAAGAGCTCAAAGCCACCACATCCTTCACTAGGCCCGAGCCTGAATACGTTCATACGCACACACGTAACACCTGTCTCAGAGTTTCACTGTATAATATAACGATGGATCCCGGCACTCTGCAGTGCTCACCGTGTCACAGACTCAGACAGGGAGGAAGTGTGCGACTGTGAGATTCTCAGGGTCTGATAGCTGCTGGCACGCCGATCAAGCTACGAGCGGACGATGCTACGTTAGCACCTGCGCTGGCTTCCTGCCCGTGCTTGCAGGTGCTGCAGCGCTCATATGGGAGAGGGTACAGGAAGTGTGGGGGGTTGGGGAGGCTGCATGGACTTGTATCCCTCACATATCCAAACCAATGCTATAATACTGATATTTAAAAATGTTCTATCACCTGCTGAGGTCTATGCACATCTGCTATTACTCAAGTCAGTTAAAATATAACAGAATTGACAATGTCTACATCACATTTTTCAATGCTCAGAAAGCCCTCGCAGGTGTTCCACAAACTGGCACGTGTGACATTGGAAGAGAACAGAATGCACTGTACTTCAATCACTGCGGTGAATACCATGACACAGAACGGGCACTGCACAATGCTACGCTTTAAAGAGTAACACAACTAATGCATGCCAGGAAGCTGTCCTCAAAAAGTACTGCTGCTATCCAAATGTGTTTTTATTTCCTTTTGTGGTCTGAGGCAATAGGACCTCATTAAATCCTCATTTTAAATTATAACAAACAACAAATAAACATTAAAGGGTTAGTTCACCCAAAAATGAAAATTAGGCTGTGTTTTACTCACCCTTGAGGCATCCTAGGTGAACAAAGGCCTCCTTATATCCATATTCAAAATGTAATAATCACTTTAATGTAGCTTGCGCTCACTGTTGTAAATGGAAGCAGTTCCGGGCGGATGATGTATGAGGCGCATGCGCCACTCAGAAGTGACGAACGCGGAAGCGCAGGGGAGAGATCAAAACAAAACAACGGTCACGAATTAGAAGTACAAAATGAGGATTTGTAAAGAAGAATGTCAGAGGATTTCGATATAAGCCAAGAGGAGACTGGTTTTCCTTTGCTAAATTAAGGAAACTTTGCTTCCTTTGCTCCTGTTAACAAACGTTGGTTTTCACAAGACTCACCGGCGCATGCACAATGCTGACCTCATACGTCATCCACCCTGAACTGCTTCCATGTACAACTGTTGGCGCAAGCTAGATTAAAGTGATTATTACGTTTTAAATATGGATATTTTTCTTACAAAAACGCATCGATTCGCTAAAGGAGGCCACCTAGGATGCCTCGGGGGTGAGTAAACACACACACACACTTACTCTTTCAAAAAACACTGTTTAGTATGTTTTTAAGCCTTTTGGTTTACAGATTAAAAACTTACATTTACATAACCTAAACGAAAATGACAAATGTTGCCTTGTCAACTAATTAAAATAAAGTAGGTTAAAGTAAAATGACTAGCACTAATACTGGAATATATATAAAAAATGACAAAAGCACATAATAAAATTACTAAAATTTCAAATGAAAATTTAAGGTCCACATACAGGTTAAATATGAAATACTACAAGTGTCTTTTTTTGTGTTTCATAGGAGATAAAAAAATCATACATGTGTGGAATAACACAAGGGGTTAATGATTATTTTTATTTCATTTTTAATTAGCGGTTCAAGCACGAAGTGCTGAAACCCTATTGTAAATGTAAGGATTTATTTATTTATTTAAATGTCTTTAAGATTCAAAACTGATTTAGTTTTCATTTTCTAATTAAGGTCCATATGCTGGTTAAAACTTTTTTAAAAGTTTGGGGGAAAAAGGTTACATGGTCCACAGCTGTAATATTCCTGTATACATGGCATCACAACAATTTGAATAAACTCAGACATGAACATACTTTTCCTACTATTCTATTCTGGAAATACTAGACATGCTTGTCCTTGCAGTGCATTTTAATTTTATCAACTCATTAATTCTCATTCATGTCCAAACAACAGCGCACAAGAGTCATCAGGCTCTTAAATGTAGGCCATAATGTTTCATTTAATTTTTTTTTCCCCCAATAGCTTGACATTTCAAACTTACATGCATCTAATAATCTAATATTAGACAGAATAACCTTAGTTTGTGCACGCACATTTATAAATGAACGTCAAAACAGCCCTCATAGGCAAAGCTCTTGT